GTTTGGGACACACTGTCAAACTCCTGGAAGCCGGCAGTGACTTTGGTGGCATGTGGTACTTCAACAAATACCTAAGAGCACAAGTTGAATCTGAAGTACCGATCTATCAGCTCAGCCTACCGGAAGCATGGCGCAACTTCAAATTCCAGGGGGAGGTTCCTGGCTATATCGAACTCCAAAAGTACTTCTCCACCATGACGAAGAGTCTTGATCTCCATAAAGATGCTATCTTCAACCCCCGAGTCCCAGAACTAATCTAAAGCTCATCTACCCAGGCCTGAAAGTTCCGCACTAGTACTAGCTACTCGTAAAATCCAAATACGTTATCTTCGCAACAAAACCACGAACAAGGCATTCATGTCCTTCTTCCCCGGTCTTACAACCATCCCCGGCCCAATAATCTACCCTGCCTCCTGGCCCTCGAATCCTGACCTCACTAACAAAAAAGTCGGGATAATCGGCTATGCGTATCTGGCCTCCAAATCACCCAAGAACTCCCCAAAACCTGCAGCCAACTGACTATTTTCGTATGCGACCCACCCACTGCCGAGATCATGCGGCAGCACACTATTTCCAGACCCCGAAGCGGAAGAAGGCAAAAACAACTACGGCGCTCTCTTCACCTTCGCTAAAGAAAAAAGCCAAACAGGATACCAATACGACCTCTGCACCGAATCCTTCTACACCACTCCACACACCGAGCGGCAACGGCTGTATGAGGATCTGTGGGCGCGCGGCGGGTATGCGTTCTTCGTATCGATTTTCCCCGAAGTCAGCTTCGACAAGACCTCTAACGCAGAAGTGTATACATTTTGGGCATCCAAGATGCGCGCAAGAATGCAGGACGCGGAGAAGAAGGAAATCATGGCCCTTGTGTAACAGTTTCCGTGGATAGGCGCCAACAGACCGAGTCTGGAGATGGATTATTGGGAATGTATTGATCGGGCTGACGTCGAGTTGGTAAATCTCAAGACGAATGGTATTGCGCGGATGACGAAGACGGGGGTGGTGACAAGGGCTGAAGAGGGGGAGGAGAAGATACATGAGCTGGATGTTCTCGTCGTTGCGACGGCGTACGATAACGTTACGGGTTTTTTATTTGATATGAGCATACTTGATCACAACGAGATGACGTCGCAGGAGAAATGGAAGCAGGGGATATGTACTTGGCTAGGCATGCTGGTGCCGGAGATGCCAAGTGCATTCTTGCTATATGGGCCGCAGGCGCCGTCTGGGCTGGCGAATGGGCCGCCGTTTCTGGACATGCAGGTCGACTGGTTGGCTGAACTGCTGAACAAGACGAAAGAGGAGGGGGAGCCGATTGAAGTGAAGAGTAGTGCGGCCAAGGCGTATCGGGAAAAAAACCTGGCGGTGTATAAGCATTTGTTGATCAGTGAGACGCAGAGTTGGTGGAATGGGGCGAACATCCCTGGTAAGCCTAATGAGCCGCTGTTTTGGGTTGCGGGGTTGCAAGCTTGGAAGCAGCAGTGTGAGGAGGGTATGAGGGATTTGTCGAAGTATCTGGTGTAGGGTCATCCGATCTAGAGACACATTAAAAAGGAAATATTTGGTTACGAAATTCCTTGATGTCGAGCGATGTGAGCGTTAAGTTATGACGAATGTTTTCATTCGATATCTCCTTGGTATGGTCCCTGGATATGCCGAGTGTATACAGTGTATGATATGCTGGAAGTGAGGAGGTTTCGCTCCTCCGGTCGTACTTATACATATGACTGAAGTATTGCGCTGCTCCGTGTCTCCTTGGACGTGTGACTGCAATTGTAGCATCACCCGGCTTTTCCATTCGATTAACGGAATGCGTTGGTCCTGTTATTGATCGCTTTTCGAATGTGCTTCTCTTCTCGCCTCCTCCACCCTACTCCTGATTGATGGTCTATTATCATCCTTCTCCTCCTTCAGGCCGAGCACCTGCCCAATCAGCCCACCCGGCTTCGGCACTGGACATTCCCGCTTGGGTGATAGTTTCTCTTCGAATAGCTTTTGCTTCCTCCTCTCTTCGCTCAGGACATCATTACATGTATCGTCTTCCGTAAGTCTCCGCCTCCGCCGCCGCCGGTTCTCTCCCGTGGGATCTGCTGAGTCGGCGAGAGTCCGTGGGTCAACGGGACATGGTATGAGATGCGGTGCGGCTACGACGAGGAATGACACCATGAGAGTTGTTGTGAAGAGCGACGTGGTCATGCGCGACCGCGGGTGAAGATGTGGCGGCATCGCGTGTGGTGAAGAACTAATTATTGAGGATATCGCAGAACCATCGCTGGCACCTGTGCGCAGTCAGTGGCTGTGGTGAGGCCGTGATAGTAAGCGAATCAATCGTACCATTCCAATTGGGATGCCTCAAGCGATCGGTAGGGCTAGGTGAACGTGGGGCGCGGGGTTGGCGGTGGTGATAGACTTTTGGTGGAGTGAACTGACCAAGCTTTAGGTCGAATACGCTAATCGATAATCCCTGCACGATTCATCCCGCCGCCTCGGAACCTTCGCATAGATCGCAATTTGACATCTGACTGCAAAAGTCGCCAACACCACGCATTGCCACATTTGAAGCTTCGATTCGTCAGATTATACCACAGAAAAGCGCAGAACGCTTGAAATCGCAAAGTCCTACCTGAAGTACGCGCCGATCACGACCCGCCACCAGCCACCATTTACCATTCTGTTCACCTCAATTCGTCTGCTTCGCGAGACTACATTTGTACGATATAGAGCACTGAATCGTAGTCGTCATATTCGCTTTGAAGAGAGCTCACGGCGGGCGTACAGTGCGCAGCTGTCACCATGAGCATCGGTGGCAGTGACCTCGACAAGTACGTCCCACCAGCCTCTCGACTATGACTCGGATGACTCGCGCTGATACCTTACTAGGGCCATCCAACAACTTCGCGCATGCCGTCCAATCCCCGAGAACCAGGTTCGAGAGCTATGCTACAAGGCACGCGAGCTGCTCATAGAAGAGGGAAATGTGGTAGGAGTGGATGCGCCGGTGACAGTACGTATCGTAACTCTCTGGGCACCCGCCAAGCTGATCGCATTGCGTTTCCAGATATGCGGCGATATCCACGGACAATTTCATGACCTGATGGAACTATTTCGCGTCGGCGGCGATGTACCAGATACCAACTACCTATTCATGGGTATGTGGACGAAACACAGACTTGGCAATAAATCCCAGGGCTAACTTAGTGCAGGTGACTTCGTAGATCGTGGCTTCTACTCGCTCGAATCTTTCCTCCTCCTTCTCTGCCTCAAAGTACGATACCCCGATCGGATAACTCTCATTCGAGGCAATCACGAGTCACGGCAGATAACGACTGTCTATGGCTTCTACGACGAGTGTCTACGGAAGTACGGAAGCGCAAACGTGTGGAGGTAGGAAAACTGGACAACGAATCTTGAACTGGTTGCTGACTGTCGTAGATACTGCTGCGAGGTATTCGATTACCTAGCCCTCGGCGCACTGGTGCAGGGGGCGGCAACGTCTCTCCAACCCACCGATGGACCAATCGCAGAGAACAGCAACATGGACAGTATGCCGGACATCGACCAGGACATCGAGATCGAGACACTGAATGCGAATGGCGAAATAATGTATCGCTACGCACGGAGCTCGGATTCGCAGTCCAGCATTGCTTCACAAGCCAGTGCCAACCTGGGCTCATCATCGCCAGTCGCGCCTTCCCCCTCGAGGGTCGGCCCAGCAGGCACGGGCGCGACTTCCTCCGCCAACGGGTCAAGAAGGAACGACACAGGTGCAATTCTGTGCGTACACGGCGGTCTATCACCTCTTGTGGATTCTGTCGATAAGATCAGATTGCTGGACAGGAAACAAGAAGTGCCACACGAGGGTGCCATGTGCGACTTATTGTGGTCTGACCCAGACGAAATCGATGGTTGGGGCCTGTCGCCACGTGGTGCAGGCTTTTTGTTTGGCGCCGATATCGTCAAGACATTCAACCACAAGAACGACCTCAGTCTCATTGCACGCGCACATCAATTGGTCATGGAAGGCTTCAAAGAGATGTTCGACTCGACCATAGTAACAGTCTGGTCGGCACCAAATTACTGCTACCGCTGCGGGAACGTGGCTGCCATACTCGAGATTGGCGAAGACGGATCGAATGCTGGCTTTCAGCGAAGAACCAATGGGGACCGAGGGGGTGGTGGCGGAGGTTGGGTGCTGGGCTCGAATGCCGGACCCAACGGCGAGCGACGACTCAGCTCAGTGCTCGGCGACAATCAGCAACGAAACCTCGATGGCCCAGGACGGCGTTACAGAGTCTTCGAAGCCGCGCCACAAGACTCGCGCGGCATGCCCGCGAAGAAGCCAGTGGCTGACTACTTCCTGTAGGACCAGAGAGTGGATGACAAAGTGCAGGAATATGTCTTATATCAGGAGAAGATCAAGTGGGATCGCCGTCGTGCTGGGCAGGCGAAGGTAGCTGCATTGGCCAAAAAGGGCGATGGTGACAACGCCCGATATGATGTATACGAGGTAGCGCGAGCTTTGCGCTTCATGTGAAGTCGAACACGTCTCGAGCGCGGTGTTCTGGAGCAAAAGGTGGGCTATTGTATATTGTCATGACGTGAATACGGATACCCAAATGCGACGCTTTGAAACGCAACTTGGACTAAAAGGTCGGCTTGTCTTGTGGGTGATGCTCGCTTTGCGACATGTGCAGACGACGAATCTGCATTGGTACTCAGACACAAATTAAATTAGGTTCACACGTGGCCCTACGAAAGCCGTACTGCCTATATCAGAGAACTTGCGCGCCCTCTTCCCCCACGTATCTCTCCTTCACCTGCCCAACCAAAAAGACCACGCCCAACCCCCCACCAAGCCTTCGCCACGCCTTCACCACGCCTTCACCACGCCTTCACCACGCCTTCACCCACCACGCCTTCACCACGCCCTCACCACGCCTTCACCCACCACGCCTTCACCACGCCCTCACCACGCCCAGAAGCAGCAAAAGAATTGGACACAGCGAGATTCGAACCCGCAACTTCAACACCCTCCATCGGCCGCACCCCGCCCGGATCATTCTTCGTGCCGAGTCACCGAGCGAGGCTGCGGTCATTGCATCATTGAGTGGACGTGTTACCAATTACACCATGTGCCCGTGAGATGTGGTTTGTATGGTACATTCGAGGTTGAAGGGGGATATATAGCGGAATAAATATGGGTGAGCGGCGTGTGGGATCAGGCGAGGTGTGCCTATGTGATAAGGACGAATGTTCGTAACGTCGACGTTGAATTGTATGCTGAGACTGTGCGTTTGTCTGGGTGAAGGTGAGGTGTGTCAAGATTTGCTTTGCCACGATGATAGGCGAAGTGTAATGCTGGCGGGCGCATTTTACACCATTGCGAGAGATGACTGTCTAAGCATCTCTGCACCACCGTTCTCCTGCATTTGGTTGCATGCATGGTTCTGCGTTTTTGCCCAAGTGAAGTGGAGGTTTCGCGTTTGCATGCCGGCAGTTTTGATAGGGCATGTAATGTGATCGCAAGAGAGGTTGCTGCTGCAAGATGTAGACCATTAATGAGTAAAGAGAACAGGTAAAAGACACGACGCAGATGATTGATAGAGAAGACAAGAGAAAGCAGATCCAGAGACGAGAGACACAGGAAAAGTGAGACCGTCGAAGTGAGTCTATCGAGCCAATTGAATCGGAAGACAAGTTTCATCACCTCGTCCCAGTATGGTCCGTGAAGTGCCATTCTAAGAGTACCATGGCATCCAGATCGCTCTCGGGCACGAGAACACCTCGTAGCTCGTTGACCAAATCTCCCATGCGCACTCCTCTCTCGCGCTGTGCCAGGATACTGGAGTAGCGCCACGTGAATCCATCTCGATCAATCACACTCTTGTTTGTCCTGTCCCACTCCGCACCCTTGAGACAGCACAGTCTGGCACTTTGGACGGGCGATTGCGTGAGATACTCACCGCCCCATGCTTGATCATGTTCAGCATCGCATAGTTCGAGAAGGTCTTTGGCCGTGCATTGCGTGTGTATGCGAATTTTCATGCCTCCAGCTGCGAGTGAGGCTGCTCCTTCGTTGAACTCGGATGCATGAGTCGATAACCATGGGTGTAGATGTGGTTTGACGCGCTCAAGCAAGTTCTGGTATGCTCCTTCTCGCCAGTAAAAGTGATCATCTCCGAGAGCCATGAGATTGGCGAGACTGTTCCATTGCTCGTCCTGCTCTTCGATAGCGGCTGCGAGTGTTCGGACATCGTCGGGGAGGAGTGATTGCTTTCGTCTCATCGGGGACAGGTATCCATGATTGCTGTGATCCGGCAGCGGTCGCTAGCAAGGCGGCAGATTGTGCCTCAACGTGGCACGCCAGAGATGTGAGACATGGTAGCACTCGGCAACGTCGTCGGCTTCAAGCTTTAACGCGACCTGAATGAGGAGCTCCGGGATATGCCAGATTTGGTGCATGGACGCGAACAGTGATATGGAACTGAAGACCTTGAAAATACAAAATGACGACCTCGGGAGGTATGAGCTGTGGTTCCTACCTTTATGAAGTGCACAGCCCTGAGACCACAGCGGTGTCGCTGAGATCAGCGCGCATACACCAATCCGACAAGGCATGCCTTGATTCGGAAAGGTGGTTGCTGAGCTTACTACCTTGGCCACTCATCTTGCTGAATTCGGACAGCGATTCAATACGTAACGACCGCGGCTGTGGCTAGTGAGGTCGCTCGTGAAGAACACGCGTGTTCAAATACACCGCAGATAGTCGTACGGGCATTGGACATCCTGCGGGGAGGTGCAAGCAACGATTGGAGGATGGCGTCGTGGTATAAGAGGCCGGTTGCTGGTAGGATGGAAGAAGCTTGAATGCGATTGACCAATCAACGCGCTTGCTGATGATTTTGTCCCACACCACCCTGCATCTTATCTTGAAATATTTCATCACACCTCCGGTGCAATTGCATCCACAATACAATGCAACTGCAACGCCTCGATGACTTCAGACTACATGATCATCCCGATGCTTCCCTCACCTTGGATCGCGCCCCGCTTTCCATTGTCGACAACTCAAATTTCACCGAGGCTACAAACACCACAAATCTAACTACCACAATTGGTCTCGCAACTGTTCTCCATAATTGGTGCCCCGACGCTCTCGCTGCCTTCATCGACCTAGACGCCTGGTTTTCTTGCACATGGACGCTCTCCATCCAACAAGGCTCACCAGAAGAAACCAACATCGAGATCGGCCGCGTCGGCAATCAAATCAGCTTCGGCACTCTCGACAAAGATGGCGACAACTGGACGCTCATGCTGACGTACAACATCGTTCTGGACGGTGCAGATCGTGGCATGTGGGTGCCGAATACTAAGGAGAGCATGCAAGGCGATGAAGACATTACCGACCCCGAGGAAATAGACCGATTAAGTCGAACTTTCGCGGAAAATATGGTGTTGGAGAGGAGATGGGAAACGGGGAAGAAACTGCGCCACAGGTTCTACATCGAATATGCGCCTATGGATGTTTGGGGCGATGGCATACCGATGAGTCCGCATTGGCTTTACGAGTCTCTCGACCTTTCGAAATGCACTACATGCAACCAGACGGCGAATGACAACGTTTCTTTACAACGCTGCGGAAGATGCGGAACTGCGACATATTGCTCATCCCCTTGCCAGCGCAAGGATTGGGCAGTTCACAAGCATATCTGCAGCTTGAGCCTTGAAGATCGTGGGCAGATGCTTGCGATTACTGAAAAAGGCGGATTGATCAACTGGGATCCGGAAAGGACGTTCGCATTGGAAGGCAGTGTCGAAGAGTCGAAGAATCCAAATTTTGCGGAGCCGCAGTTGAAGCGCTGCAGGGCTGTTGGCCACTTCGTAGCAAATGACGAGAACCAGGACGGCTAAAGAATACAGCTCGCCAGATTCTACGGTTCTTCGTGTGCAAAATGATCGACTCCTGACTTATGGGGCTACAAAATCACATATGGACACCTGCTCAATTGATACAATGCCCAGAATTGGGGCGGGGACGGCGACGGCGACAGAACCATAATAAGAGTGTGGCCTACCATCGACGACACCTTTCTGGGATAATTGCTCTGTATCGAAGTATTCTTGTGCCTAATGTTGAACGATCAGGAAGTATGATTCTCCATGGTTTGAGCAAATCTCAATTGTGAGGACGTTGTCAGAGCGTGCGTTGAGGCAGGAGCGAAATGCATGAAAGCAGGTTCGTTAGTTAAGACAACTGTTCATGCTGCGCGGCGAGGATGAATGCAATAGAAACCGCAACTCTTGTAAGAAAGAGAATAGAATCTAATCTGATGAGGGAAGTAATAGGCCAGTACAACAAGATCGTTTTGCAAAGATCATTCGACACCATGAATAATGAAGCAATGTGCTCTCCGATGTCGAGTGTAATTCATACCTAACTTCAAGTATATGAAAGACTGATCTGCAAGACAAGTCATGACCTTTAATACTCCAGAGACGTACCTTATAAGTGGACCCTCGACCCTCAGCCCGCATGACGCACGTCAGCCCGCTTCACCGATCAACCATGTCCACTCGAGCACGTGAGCTGCATACTCAGCCGCTTCTACAAGAAATCGCCCCCAAATCTGTCGTGCTGCTAGGATCCACAGCTCCACTTCTCCACGTGCGATGTATCGTAGATAATGCGTCTGGCGGGAGAGGCTGCCACGTTGTTGTGAGGGCGGTACCTGCATCTTCTACGAGTCAGCGATGAGACTCGCCGTTTCGCCTCGTGGTGACCATATTGCAATTGCCGAAAGGTGGGCTTCTGCTCCGAGGGTTGCGCATGTGTCTAGAGCGGGATCAATCGTCGTAATAGCTGCTCGAGGTAGAAATGACAGCGCAGGCAGAACTGCGGTTACTCAACGTCCAACGAGGAATATCCCTGCATCGACTTGCATATGTACTTGAAGGCTGCGAGCCTCCCAATTGGCTTGTAGACTCGACTTATATGCATTTTCCGATTTGCGAACTGATTAGACAATATATATTCGTCAATGCCCCGGAGGTCGCCGTGGTCATAAATTATCCTGTGAACATCCAGCTCCTCGGTGTCAGGTGTCAAAGTCCGGGGTAAACGGGGGTAAGCGATTGGACATAAGCTCTCGTGTCAGATGGCGAATGCTCAAGACTCGGACCGGGTGCTTGTCGCATGATTGTACGTTCCAGATATGTGTACACAAGCACATGTGTGTGATTTGGAGACGTGGCAGTCCTGGACCGTCATGCTGCGAACCACGCCGCGGGAAGCGCACGGTTGGGGAAGTGCAAACTACACGATACTGCACATGATAGTTGATCAAGAGGATGGTGGCTGCCGGCTGATGATACAACGGTGGTCCCGAGGAACGAGATGCCTGGTCCAGTACTTGCTTGTCACTGCTCTGTCCATGGACGATCTCGGTCTGGAGATGCAGCAACTCATGCTGCGGATGGCTGCAACAATGACTGCCTTTGTTAGAAAACCTGTTCATCTAGAGTGATTCCCTGTCCTGGATTATGCGCATCTCCAGCTTCGAAACGTCAGGGTCCAATCGCTGGTCCATTATCAGATCGTGATGCGATATAGAGCAGCATGTTAAAGGTGGCCGCAGAGACAGTCGCTCCGCCAAAGCAAGCCCGCATATGGCTTTACCCGAGTGACATGCAGGATTACGCCCGGCACGCAATTCTGGGTCAGTGTGAGACGGATGCGGCGTAGAGGTCGCTGATCCGTACGAAAATACTTGCAAGCCTTTGCCTCCCAAAAGGACCATAGTTGTCATCCACCCCAAGTACGGCGACTACACTCTCCAGACGTGTAGAATGCAGTCCATGTCAAGCCACCACCCACCCCCTCTGCCCGCGGCCACCGCCTCCCCCACCCACCATCCCCTGATCGGTATGAACATAGTTGCAATCCTTCGCCTAGAAATAGGCTAAACGAACTGAAATGCGGAGGTGCACACACACAAAACAGCGTCCTTTTCCAGCAGAGTGGTCAGTGTTTCGTGTTTCGTGTCCATAGGCTCCAAGGACCATGTTTGAGGTGCATTTTGCATACGATGGCGGCGTTGTGATCCACAGGAGGCGTGAACGAAGACGGTGTTGATGTGCA